TAAAATAGTAACGATATGAGTCTATACATTTTTCAAAATTCAAAGAACAGTTAAAGTAGGCATACTATGATATATGTTTATGTTTAAATTTAGTCATTTATAACTTGACTAGTGGCCCAGTGCACAGAATTTGTGCACATTAAAAGGGAATTAATTAGAGGAAATATTTTAATGTTTTTATTTGCCCTTTCTCTATAATAGAAGTGCCAGAGATGAAAGAAAATTAGTAAAATATATATGAAAATCTCCCTCCTGTCAGAGTCTGGGGCCCACCACGGAACCCAGAGTCAAGTCCCCACCCACCCGCGTGTGCCTCAAAATCACAAGAGACCCAGACCCGGCCGGCCCCATCCCCATCAAGCCACTCAGGGCAAGGGGCACAGCCTCAGGTCCCCCGTCAAGCCCCGCCAGGTGGGGGGGGGCACAGCCTTAGGTCCCCCAGAGTAGCCTCAGATCCCCCGGCCTGGCGCCAGGGTGGGGGGTGCGGCCTCAGGTCCCAGGCCCCAGCTCAAGGGCACGAAGGCGTGAGGGTGTGAAGACCATTTGCATATTAGCTCTTTATTATATAGGATAATGTTGATTTTTTTTAAAGGACAGATTCAACCAGCAAAGTGTTTGTTCTTCCCCCTTTTTCTTCCCTTAACTGCAGGCATAATGTCTGGAGGCACAGCAGCTACCTTTTGACTAAGAGGTAACAAGCATGAGAACAAATATTAAAGCTAATGATAGCCGAGAATAAAAGGTGGAAAGAGCCATTTTCCACTCCCTGCCGCCTGAGGCTATTTTTGAACCGCTGCTTTACCATCCCTGGACTATTAAGCTCCAAACCTTGTTGCCACTGTTACAGGGTTTTGTTAGTTTAGCCAAATTAATTCCCAACCTTGCCCACTCACCGAAAGGTCTCAGGTTCGATTCAGGTCAAGAGTGTACCTGGGTCACAGGTTCGAACCCTGGTCCCAGTCAAGGCGCCTGCGGGGAGCGGGCCTAAGCCGTCAGTCGCACATCCTTAAGCGCTGCCGCTGCTGCACTCACCAGCTGTCAGCCCAGCTTGTGGCTGAGCAGTGCTCCCCCTGTGGGAGCGCACTGACTACCAGGGGGTAGCTCCTGTGTTGAGCGTCTGCCCCCTGGTGGTCAGTGTGCATCATAGCGACTGACCAACCGGTCGTTCAGCTGTTTGGTCGATTTGCATATTACCCTTTAATTATATAGTATGTCCTGTCCACTGTAGTAATCAAAACTCTGTGTTTTATTCAAAGGTAAAGCCACCACCACCCTCTACCCCATCCCTACCTTCAGCCCCAGGCAATCTTCAGGCTGGTAGGACTGAAGGAGAAAGGCACATGGGCACATGGCCATCTTCTTTCCCCTTTGCTAGTCTTGTCTACTCCTGCTCCCCCAGGTCTCATTCCAGGCTACTTCAGCCTATTTCACAGTTGAGATTGAGGTGAGGTAGGAGAGAGAGTAGGTTTTATTTAACAGCTGCAGATATAATCGAGCACTGGTGTCCTCTGGCCATAGCAGATGCCCCATGCTGATTTGTATATCCCTGGGGAAGTTTTAAGGGTTCCTGGAACCTTCACAACACTGGCTCTGACTACTGCTTCCTTATAATGCACTGCCCCCGATAAAGGCTTGCAATGACCTCCCTAAGCTTTGGTATCCAGTAATCCACCTTCTCTGGGAAGTTCACCTCCTCCAGGGGGTTCTCACAGGCAAAATCCAAAATGGCTCAAAGTCCACCCGCTCCCACCTCAGGTCTCTCGGAAAATCTTTTGTATCCTTAGTGACTCCCAGTGGCATCCTCTTTCTTTCCCTCCCCTCTTGCTTTAGACCAGATCTCCCTATGGCTTCAAGCCTATCCTCATGCTGCCCAGATTCCAGGGGCCGAAGGTTCTCTGAAGCCTCTTCTCTCACTTGACCCAAGGTGAGCAAATAGCATACTCTCCAAAGAAATTCTCCCTCTCCCTTTTCAAATTCATGACTCTTTGATAAGTTCCAGGTGATGTGCTAAGTCCTATAGAAATGGACTAGAATCTGGAAGGCACTTACCATGTTTTGTGAGCCTTTAAAGCCTCAGCCAAAATCAGAAGAGTCACGTTTTGGCAACTGTTACAGATCTGTTTGTATATAGAGCTATGTAGAATGGGGATCTATAAGAGGTATGAAGAAAAATATTACACAGACAATGGAGTGGTGAAGTCCTGGGATTGGGGAGGGGAGTGGGTAGGGGCAGGCTGGAGAGGGTCAATGGGAGAAAAAAGGGGACATATGTAATACTTTCAACAATAAATATTTTTTAAAAAAGAAAAATATTGAATTTCTAGTTTGAAAAAAGCACAGGAATTATACCAAAAGTTCTCCTAATTTCTCAAAGTAGGGTTTTCATCTCTGTGTGGTTTCCTAGGAATACATCCTGATCCCTAGGTGAAGTGGAAACCAGATGAGCTAAGCTTCCACAGGTCTCTTCCCAACCTCATTGATGTCATGAGAACAGGAGAAAGCC